AAGTACTGAGTAAGAATGTCTGTGGCTTGCTACAACAATTCCAGATAAAGTACCGATAAATGTGTTAAAGGACAAAATATGATGTTATCTTATAGTGCACATCAAAACCACAGGCTTTGCTTATACACGGAAGAGCGGGTGAGACAGCCAGCACTAACCAAAGGAGAAGGAGGGGACTCAACTGTGCATTGCACACAACATACATCTGGCACACTTGTCACAAAACTATGGAGCTTTATGCAAGCTTCATTTTAGTATTCTAGCAATATCCCCTTCAGGCGTGAACTATGATGTACTGTCGGCAAATGCGTCTAACTGACATGACATGATTTCAAGACACTCAGTATTACAGTCCAAAAAATAAAATTAAGGAGTGTGTTGATTTGTATGAGTTTTAGCAATTAATGTTAATTAGCACACAATTAAATATCTAATCATTCTGGAATCAGTCTTCTTCAATCCTTACACAAAAACAATTAAATATTAGGTTCAAAATGCATGCAAAATTTGTTTTTTGGCTGTATTCATTTCAAGCAAAGGAAAAAGAATTGATTGATAGATATGTGTTGTTTAACGTCGCAAAACAACCATATGAATATGAGAGATACCATAGTGGAGGGCTCCGGAAATTTCAACCACCTGGGGTTCTTTAACATGCACCCAAATGTGAGCACACGGGCCTACAACATTTCCGCCTCCATCGGAAATGCAGCCGCCGCAGCCGGGATTCGAACCCGCGACCTGCGGGTCAGCAGCCAAGTACCTTAGCCACTAGACCACAGCAGCACGGGGATGTCTACCGGGACCCACATAGTTTCTCATCAGCAAAATGTAAATACGTTAGGTAACTGGAGGCTCAACATACCAAGTTTCAGTTGAGCACGAATGCATTGAAATTTCTCAGAGCCAATGCGGTAAAGATATGAAGAAACACTTTAAAATCTGTGATAGCACCATCAAAAATGCGGGAATCTAAAGTAATTTAAAGGCGGGAATTTTAAAGTATGACCTTTGACATTGGTTTTTCTCCTCTATCATTAGTCTTGTAGTGGTGAAATTAATGACAGCAGAGTCCGAGTGTAATGCGTTAGTTTAAGTCAACTTAATGCTTCGTTTTAGTGTCCCTTTGAACATCATACAATCTTTCAAAATGCTGTGTTATACTTTATAAATAAATATTATGTGGCGTTTCACCCTCAAAAAACCATGATGTGATTATGAGGGAGGCTGTTATCTGGTGTTTTACACCTGGAAACCACAACGTGATTATGAGGGAGGTCGTAATGAAGGTCTTCAAAAATTGACAATCTGGTGTTCTCCGATTTATGGGGGGGGTGGAGCGGGTGAAAAGTTCCCAGGCCACTATCTGAGCACAGGGGCCTACAGCATTTTCGCCTCCATCAAAAATGCAGCTGCCACAGCCGGGATTCGAGGTTGCGGGTCAGCAGCCGAGTACCTCAGCCACTAGACTAGAACACCACGGCGGGGGGATGTCTACCGAGGCCCACATAGTTTCTCATCAGCAGTTTTTAAATACGTTAGGTAACTGGAGGCTCAACATGCCAAGTTTCAGTTGAGTGCCAATGCATTGAAATTTCACGGACACGTATCGTGGGAGCGTGGCCCGAGAACTTCTGACCCCCCCCCCCCCCCGTCTTCTCTTGTACACCGACATCGCACAGTACACAGGCGTGTAGCGTTTCGCCTACATCGAAATGTGACAGCTGCGGCGGGGATCGAACCCACAACCTACAGGCCAACAGCCAGGCACCTTAACTGCCTGCATGTTCAAACCTAGTGAACAACTTGAGTGAAATGGCTTAGCTTGCTTCCTCCAGAGAAGTAAGGCAGTACCATGACCATTTTTATTCTGTGCTTTCACCTTTGTTAGATAGAAATTATTTCCCTCTAGTCCCAATGTTGATTGCCGTTCTGCTGTGTTGCCTGTTTCAGGGTGACCAGCAAAACTTAGCCAAATCCCACTCCAAAGAAAATAGGTGCCAAAACTTACCCAGCCAAAGATCATTTCCAAATACAAAGCGGAAAGGCTTGGGCACAATGATCGTTGTGTTATTAAATGTGACATAGTAGACGACGAGTAATGGCAGGGATGCCAAAGTTGGCAAGAGCAGCTTGTCTCGCCACTTGAGGTCCAGCACGTCATCCGCAAAGCCCAGCAGCAGCATGCAGCAGATGGAGAGAAGGGCCGCCAGGAGCTCGACAAACTGCACATAAATGCGTCAGCACTGTTAGCGGTGCAAACCATAAAATTAAGCAAAGCTATATACAGTCAAACTATAAAGTATAATGAGTATTGTAGTTCTTGTTCACACCAACACCACTTGGCCACAATTTTTTCCTCGGTTATTGATTGACCAACTAAGGTGCTGTTTTTACCACTCGCTATAGTGGCTAAACTGGTAAGTGTGTGCATGTAAACACATGATCCTGGCCTCGATTCTCAGCCATGGCTACCATATTGAAATGGGCCAAATGCAAATAACTGTACTTTGAAGTGCACATTAAAAAACCACAGGTAGTCCAAATTATTGTAGTCTTTCACAATGTTGCACCTCAACTGTATTGTGGTTATGGCACGAAAAAAGTTTTTTTTTCTTTTTTTTTTTTTTTTTTCACTAATGCACATGTGCGCTGCACCTTTTGAGCCTCTACATCGGCAGCCAACTCACTGGAGTGCTCCCAGATTGGCCTGGGGGATCTTTACTGCCAATTAAAAAGATACGACTGAACTGCCGCAAGGGAGACCGACACATTGAAACTGCTGAGAATGGTGAACGCATGCCTGCAACCACTGATTTCCCGCAGCACTGTTCTATTACTTAAATGAAAAAATAAATAAGGCAGCTTATTGCAACTTACATTGAAATTCACTTTTATTACCTTACAATGTCGAGGTTTCTCTATGACCAAACAGAAAAGATCAGCAAAATGAAAGGACCATAAAAATTAAATCAGATTTATCATATAGTACATGCACATGGTACACATGCAATGCTGTTCAAAAGCCTGTTTGCTACAGTATTAGTAAACGAGTGAACAGGCGAAATACCAGTTCAAGCTGCAGTTGAGCAGCAATGGCCACTTTTACTGCCGCTGAGGTTTCAACAATTGTAGTGGCTTAAAGTAGTCATCTGTAACCAGATGGTCAAAGAAACTGAATAAAAAGCTTGAAACAAAATATATTGCAGGAGGCGTATTAGAATTGTATTTGAGTACTTGTATATCCCTCATGATTACCCGTATTTACTGTTGCAACCACAAGTTGATGTACAATAGAGAGGAGGCATATGCCATATCAGTATGCTGCTGAATTGGTAGTTGCAGAGCTAATAACTGGAAGAAAAAAGGAGAAACAGTCAGATTGTTTTTGTCCATGCTTTGTGTAATTCATTCGGCATAAACTTGGCAATGAGGAGATTTTGTGTACCAAACTGGTGGGAACTAATAGTACCAAACTAATGGGTTGCAAACTTACATCACTATGTGGAAAGATTGAGGCTTCCGTCAGATAGTTGAAGAAGGGCACAGGAATAAATAGGAACATGGTAATTAAGAAGACTGTCGCCGATATCACGCCAACAGATTCTGGGCTGAAAGAAAAAAAAAAGAGGCAGAAAGAAATGTGGTTTACACAGCTCACAACAAAGAAAGCGCAGCTTGAGGTAAGTGGGCAGTTTTTTTTTTATTACTATTATCAATAGAACTAACAAATGATGCTTAGGACACGTTAATTAGTTGGCTTTTCCGTGAAGAGAAGTTTCGTTTTAAATCTCGATGACTGCTTCCAGACAAAATGCAAGCGGCGGCTTTACAACAGGCTTTTATAGCGCAACGCATGGACGCAATGCAGAGTTTGAAAAAAAGCGTCGGAACTACCACATTTCACTTTAGGGCACGTGAAGAAACTTGCGGAAGCTCATTTACGAGGGGATGAAATGAATAATCTGTGGTATATATGAATTAATTCAAGTAACATTACACCAACTAGCTTTCCTTTTAGTGCGAAAACAGCGTTGACACGTCGGTCATAAAAATAATAATAATACTGCTTCGCTTGCACGCACACCACTCGATCAGCTGACGTAACACAGCGTTTAAACCGTATGCATGTTGCAATGCATCAAGCGTGCCGACGAAGGAAAAAACTACACTTTTGCTTTGGTCGTTTTGCTCATGTCGACCCCTGACAGTCCGGCTCTAATAAACATCTCTCTGAAACGTGGTATTAAGTCGAGAGTGACTAGATGAGCAACAGTCGACATCGTCAGATTGATGCCGAGTACGATTACAGTGTGCATTTTGAGCGGACACGCGTCAACGACGTTCACAGTTCAAAACGGGCGTACTAGGAGACGCTGAAAACATCACAGGTCACGAAATCAGCCACACGTAGCCAGGCATCTCGTCAACGCAACACAAGCTTCGCCGACGCGATCGTAGAGGGATCGCAGCACCGACGCAGACCGCCGAGAGCAGCGAAAGCACAGCCTGGCCTGCACTTTACACGTAGAGCGTGACGTACACACCATGAATTACGCACGCACTATTTACTACCGCCATTCTTTCTTTCTTTTAGAAGCTCAAAAACAAGTCATTTTGTACGTTTTAAATGAATAAATGATTTAAAACAAAAATATTACTTTTATACTGAGTTTTTTCATAATGTTGTTACAATCTACAATTACTGATAAAGTTTTGTGTAACTACTTTTTCTGCGCAAGCATACAACAAAAAAACTTGCTGAGGGGAGAGGTAGCATTTAGCAGCAACTTTGTCTTTTTCGGCGTCTCGTGTTTTGTTTACACACCCCGTGTGGGCCGTAATTTTTTTCAAGATTTAATACCACACGCATTCACAATAAACTTTTATGGATCTTTTTTATTCAATAGCGCTTAATTGCTCTGATTAGGTGCTCTTTTGTGAAAGACAAAGAACTCGTTTTTGTGCGTAGCACGTTTCTCGCGCCTGCGCACTCCGCGTCTTCTCGTCGACGGCCTTCCGCCATACTGTGCAAACGTGTGAGAATCGGTCTGCTGAGCCGGCAAATTGCTTTGGTCAAGACTGGAGATCGAGTCGTGAAACAATACTGGCAAGGTAAGCTTTCATAAACGCTGTAAATGTGACTCGCTGTTTGTTACGTTTTGGTTTGCTTATCAGTGACCGGCATTCTTGCCTGGTCGTTATTGTTCATCCGGCCGCCATTGCTACGCAGTGGAAGCAATGAGACGGTAATGCCACTCGTTTTGGTTTTAAAACTAAATTTCATGATGTGTGAGCTGTGACGGGTTGTTACTTCTCCCCCCTATCGGGAGCAGGTCATTAGGGACAACTGCCGGAGTTCGTAATTTGTATCAAACGATATTCTGTTCGGCTTCGTTTTGTATACGATTACTTTTTGTGTGTAATAGTCTTAAAAACAGAAGCAGGCTTGCTCTGATAGTACATTATTTTGGTTTCAGACGCATATGCATTCTGAACGCCGACCGAATGTCGCGCTAATTTGGAGCTTCGTTTGTTTTAGCGAGTGCTGCGTGTAGGGGGATGTCCGGTGGGAGGCATCGTTTCTCTTAAGCCTAACTCTTCGACCAACGCCGGTTCGCGTACTGACGCCCCCGTGCAACAGCCCCGCGGTGCAGGTTCGGTTTCGTTGTACTGGGTAACTGTACACCCTAATTGTGAAGTTTCTAACAGTAACTTCGTTTTTGCTCTTGCTCACCCTGGGTTAATGACGCCTATGCTACATAAGCGGAATGCAAGAATATGGCGTAGATGCCGGCGTCTCGGCGGCCCTGGAAGTTTAGCGTGCACCTTGAAACTCGCTGTACGAGCCGGCCGCGGCTCTGTGTTAAAATTGCGAAAGCCTAGCGCAACTTGTGTATGTTGGAGTAGGTCGACGTTACACTCAAATTACAGCTTGAATGACCATATTATAATCGCTAAAACTATCAGATGTAGGACTCCGCGAACAGCGTCTCTAATATCGCGTATGTTGCCTGCGGCGTAACGGCTGAACTGCACCGCTTTGAGGCACGCTGCATGATGCCTTGGGACAGAAGTAAACACGCCTGGGACAAAAGTAAATTGGTAGGGAAAATGAGGACATTCTGCCGTAAACGGCAGAGAATTCGGTTCTGAATTGGCTTTTTTCCTCTTTCTATCAAGGTAAATTCTAACGAAATAGACAAGACATTAGGTGAACTTCAGAAAAAAAAATATATTTGTCAAGCTTAGGGACACACTTACCACCACTCCGTTATAAAAGGGACGCCCATAGCATCCGTCCGTCCATAGTTGTTTGGGTCGATTACATTGACAGCCAAAGATTTACCATTTGCTTGTGTGATGTCAAGACCATTCCCATTTAAATACTAAAATTTTCAGCTACTCACACATAATGTCGATACGAAATGGAGGAAGCGGAAGCCAACCAGAAAATTGACAATACCTATAAAACGGCTGGAGACTAAGCCAGAAGGAACCGAGTAAGGAGATGAAAAAGAAACTGAGAAGGGTGTGTGGAAAATGGAGATGCTTGTGGAATTGGCACTGCAGTCCTGCTGAACTTCAAGCAGGAAATTGACCAATGAAAGATGTCTGCAATAATTCTCGTGGTAGTTCTTTGCTCTTTCAAGACTAATGGAAGTATTGCAGACCAAAATGTATCCAGCCAAATACTGAAGGGATAGGCACGTAATAGAGTATGTAGAGAAGGAGGATGTAACTGCTTAACGCTTAGCACTGTTCTGTAAATGGCCTTACCTTTATAGTCCAAGATATTGCTTCAGAATGTTTTTAAGCATTGGGGTTTAAGGACATTGAAGACAGATCAAGCTTTTGTCTCCGTTTTAGGTCTCCGTTATATAGTTTGGGCAGGAAATTTCACTATCTGGTGCAAGTAGAAACACGTTTGTAAGGCACAACTGGCACGTCTTATCCCATTTCCGTACTAGAGGAAATGCCAATACTGACCCAATATATCGTGCACATTCCAAGCTTTGCCACCGGTAGCTTCGACTGCAAATTGCAATTCTATTTTTTTTTCTCTCTTCTCTTTTCCAGGGTGGCCACTCCAGGGAAGACGTAAGGTAAATATCTTTTCGTTTTCACAGTATGTCTCTTTTGCATGTGAAAGTTTCAGCTTACACTGGGCACAAAGTTTTAAAGCTTTGCATTAGCTAGCAAAAGCACAACGTGACAATAGTGAGTGTACATTTAGATGCCAATATCTCTGGCACGGTTGTGGTTCTTGTTGTACAGACTAGAGCAGAAGTTGGCTGGCAATGGGACAGGCCGGTATACGCCAATCTCGGGGTGCTGGGAACAGGGGATGTGAAACGGCTTGCTCAAGTTTAGTGACCAATGCACACGAGTCGGTGTTGCTTGTAAGGCAAGGGAAATAAGTTTTTCTTCCCTTCCCCCCCCTCCCCCTATTTTTTGCAAGTTTTCTTGCACGAAAGTATTTGAAGGAGTACTGATTTTCGTGCAGCTTTGTACGCTTCTCACATAGTGAAGAGCCAGACTTGGCAATCAGTCTACAAGTTCAATTTGAAAATGCTGGACGTCATCATGAGCATTGTGACATGAGAAAATATCCTGAGCAAGGGCAAGACGTAACTCTTCTGCAGAAGGTATAACTATTCTTGCCTGGCAGTTGCAGATAGCAGTAGTAATGAAGCTATCTACATATTGCATTATGACTCGTCAGTCTCTTGCACATAAAAACTGGCTCCCTGAAGGTATATTTTAGTGGAATACCTTAGGAGCATTGTGGTGTTAGGATTTTTCAGTTTTGGCACTTTGACTGGTTGGAGACTTTTCAGTACTACTTTGAATGCTTTGGTGCCTTAGTGTTTTTCGTTAAAGGGACACTTGAGTCAAATATGAATTCAGGTTGGTGTGAAAGCTCAATGTTTGACGTCTAAAACAATATTATCAATAGCACTGTCCTTAGTTACCCAGAAATGCATGAGAATACATGCGCCACGAGTAAGACAGTCGCAAAATGATAGCGATGACTGTAAGATTTGCCATCTACAATTAATCACTAGTAATCGAACTAGCTGCACTAAATGAAGAAGCTTGCATTAAAAATAATAAAATGCAGTTAGTTGCCATCTACAATTGATCACTAGTAATCGAACTAGGCTGCACTAAATGAAGAAGCTTGCATCAAAAATAATAAAATGCAGTTAGTTCGTTTGATTATAGGAAAAATAACCGCCGGACGTTGCTATGGGGAAGAGCGCGAGTAGTTCAAAACTTCAATTTTAGCCTGGTTAAATGCCACCTAGCGGGGCTCAGTTTAATAAAGTGAGTCTGCCATCTCGGAGGCTATGGCAGAAATTTTTCAATGGTCGTAGGTGCTGCTATAGCTCTCGCTACTTTTGCTCTGCTGTTACTAGTGTCCGTGGCCGCGCAGTAAAGCCAGGCAACGTTGTGCATGGCAACAGTGACTTGAAAGTTTCCACTTTAAGGCGGGTAATTTGAAGTGTGCTAGCGCGATGCAGACCACTAAAACGTGATTTTGTTTCAATATAAGCACTTTCTTGTCACAAAAGCAGTGCTACAAGGCTTTTGAAACGTTATTTCAGCAATCAACAGACTTATTTGGCTTTAGTGTCCCTTTGATGGAAGACAGTAGTGTGTGAGAGCAAAGTCATGGGCACTTTTCATTGAAGGCATACTGCACAGAATTGACAAAACTGATGAAAACTTCAAAATTCTATGAAGATGCAACTAGTTGGTTTCCCATACTATCTTGCTGTATTTTTCATGAATCGTCAGCGCTCGGCAGGGTGCATGCAAGCCGTGATGTCACTAATTGCCGAGGCGCATGCAAAGTGCACAAGTTATTGTCTCTCTCATCCAGTCTCTCTAGCTCCCCTTTCATCCCACTTTCCCCCTTCCAATAAAAGCGCTGATGATTTATGCCAGCCAGGAGTTCTTCAAGTGTTGGTTATAGTGGGGGCTCTGAGCGGGTCAAGAGATGCGGACGATGGCTGGTGTTGTTGGCTTACACGTTTCAAGCTTGGGTGACATTACCCAACATACCCTCCACTAGCTCATGATGTGGATGCTCGACACCGACAGTTTCTGAAAAGCGCAATAAATTCATTTTCTATAGTTTGTCCGAAGTGAAGGTTGTGTTAATTGATTTCAGAACCAAATCTTTTCAAGTTTGGTTACAAATATTGGCGGCTAAAATTTTGTTCAATATCCCTCTAAATAACTAATCCTGAAGTTAATCGGTGGTTCTTGAAAATGCGATACCCAAATCGGCATGCTGGATTATAATGAAGTTATGATGTGGGCTCAATAACCTGCTTATTGCATATTTGTATACACGAGTGAGATTTAGATAGTAAAGGCTTTACTCAATTTCACGGGTGGCAGAGGGGTGGCCACTATAAGGCGAAAATTGTTGTCACAGTTCTTTAAAGCAACCAGTTATGGCATTTGTGGGTTTATGTACTTTGAATTTTAGACTAGCTACAACTTCTCCTTAGTTTTTTTCCGAAAAGGAGCGTTTCTTGTCGTGTCTATCGCTTTTTGTACTGCGGTGATACATTAAACAAGTGGGAACATTGAATACAGGGTCTTGTTAAATTACAGCAGAGAAACCACTCTCTGCTCCGGCTACAGAAAATTTTTTTGCATTAGGAGTGACTGTGCATTATGATTGGCTTGTGGCAAGCCAAGTCTCACCTGAACTTCTGTGTGGTCCTGGGTAGTTTAGTGCTCCATAAAATATTAACATTCTTCATACTTTTTGCCCTGTGCAATGTGATTTCTTTTTATGAATATATTTGAAGAAGTGTTGCAGCGTGATGCTAGGATGTGCTGCTCAATGGCCACTATAAGGCGAAAATTGTTGTCACAATTCTTTAAAGCAACCAGTTATGTCACCGCCAAAGTTAAGTGCAAAATGGAACATTTTCTTTTTTTTAGTCAGTCGTGGTTTTGATTTTGAGCTTTGAACGCTTATACCTTTAGCCCGCATCTTATACCTTTAGCCCGCATCTGTTAATTTTTGTATAGTTTTTTCAGTCATCAGTCATCTCTGTTAACTTCTTTAGTACCATGGTAGGCAATTAGATATATATATTGAACGCTTATAACTTTAGCCTGCATCTGTTAATTTTTTGTATAGTTTTTTCAGTCATCAGTCATCTCTTTTAACTTCTCTAGTACCATGGTAGGCAATTAGGTGCCTTGCTTATCTTTTTCAGGGCCATCTAGGCAAACAGTTAAATTAGTGAGGATAAGTATAAGCAGGTAATTTCAGGTGGTTTAAGTCCACGTCTAGATTTTGACATTAGGTGAGCTCATCGAGAATTCAGGATATATCTCAAATGAGCCAGTTAAAGGCCAGGTGACATCATTTCAGTCATTAAAATATTTTAATGGCAGTAGATATGAGCTAGACCGCTACTTAATCCACCTATGAGAAGATAATTCATTTTCCATTCACCAGTTATATATGAGCAAGCAGCAGTTTGTCTTTAGTACATCTCATTGTAAGATAAGAATAGACTTGGATGGCTTTTGCATTTGTGAACTATCTTCACGTCTGAAGACGTTAAGCTGTTTTGTTGCCATCACATTTTCAAGAAACCGAAGCTTGGTGTATGACCCGTTTCTGAGCTGTAGTTTTCGGACAATCTGATGCAGTCTTCATTGTACGTGTGGCCATGGTAGAATTGGCATACATTCGCCAGGCTGGTTAACAAAGTGATGATAATCGCGACATTGCAGAGATCACTGGTTTTGATGGAAATCGAATGTTGGTGATCTGTATTTTTATTCGATGCCAGTGAAACAAACTGAGAGATCACCGCCAAGTTCATTTGTTAAGTGCAGAAAGGCCCACATTTAGAATAAGATGAAACTGCTTATATGTGCAGTTGCACAGTAGATTCAACATGCAGTAGCTTGAGTGCATACGTTAGTCTAATATAACACATCCATAGGCTGTTACCTATTTTTAAACCAGCTCTTTCAGCATTTGGGACTTGTAAAGATAATCTGAAATAATTGTAACAGTGATTGGCATTTTTTTTTTTAGGTACGAAAGTCATTGCCCAGAGGCTACAATCACTGTTAAAATATAAACATTTCTCATTGCATGTACATTCTAAATGCAAGTGATAGTTTCCACATTTATTTAAAGAATAATTTGCTTTTCTATAGGAGTCTGATAGAGAATAGTAAAAGAGGATACACTATAAGTAAGCCATTAGGACAAGAAAACAATGCCTATAATGGTGGCTAAATTATGTGTACCAACTTGTAACTATGCATGATGGAGTTTCTACAGTAGTACTCCGAAACATCACAGCATTGTTGTCTCATTTTGTTCGCGTAATCATCCGTTTGACATTGCTCACTGAACCATTGCACATACACCATTAAAGCATAGTTAGCTGAACGCTTTACAGAAACTCTGTAAAGCGTATTTATTGCATTAAACTAATGATGCAGCACTTTACTGACAGGTAAATATTAATTCATTTTCACAGTACACGTAGCTGTTTTTCACAGTATACGTAGCTGTAAAGCAATCAGATGCTCAAGTATTTGTTCAGGGTTTACGTGTGCGACCTTGACACGGTGGCGAATTCCATTGGGAGAGTAGGAGCACTCAAAAGCACGCTTAAAGTGCTCTTTTCAGAGCCGCCATGTTTCAGTGGTCAAACTGGTGCAGGAGCACTGTTATCTATTGATAGAGCAAGAGTGCTTTTCCTGCACCGAGGGCAGCCAGGAGCAGTTTGCAGTGCTTGCCTGAAAAGCAGAGTAGGTGCAGTACGACGAGTCGCGTTTTACTTGAACATCACAGCCTCCGAATTTTTCTTCAGCCGGCGAGCGCGGCAGCAATGGTTGCTGCCGTGTGTAGTTTGACACCACTATTTTGTACTGATGGCTACGATGACAGCTCGACGTTTGCTGAATGAGTCGTTGCACAAGCTTACAAGGTATTAGGATAATGAAAAATATGTGGCTGACCAATTTCACGCGTATTTAGCTGCTGCCCCACAAAGAATATGCCGGGGCTTGGTAAGTTTGTCACGTGGTATCTCTACTCATCACCTTGTGACCTGCCCTCCAGAAGTGCGACGAATTCCAGTGGCAGGGTAGTGGCCTTGCTCTCAGTGCCCTGTCCCCCACTCCTCACTGCCCTGCCCCTCTACTCCTGTTCTCTCAATGGAATTTGCCATGAGTCTTAATCACCTAGTAGACGTGTAACGGGCAGTGTTTTTCAGAACGTGCCGAAATCTGTGCAGTGCCTTGAGTTGTACAAGTGAAATGAATGTATGTGTGCGTGATAGTGGCTTGGAGCGGCCAGGAGGAGGTGGTGGTGCAACATGAGCTTCCACGACAACACAGAGCCGCGCCAGCAGCGCCCACCCATCTACCGACCCAAGGACCCTCCACCTGATGTAGCCCTTGATCGGAGCCGCATCTACATTGGTAACCTACCTCATACCGTGACAGAGGACGATGTGCGAGAACTGGTTGAGCCCTATGGGGCTGTGCGGGACGTCTTTGTGAACAGCCAGAAGGGTTTCGCCTTTGTAAGATGGATAGCCCTCAGAGTGCCGAGGCAGTGGTGACTAACCTGGACATGAACCTGAGGCGTGGTCGACGATTGCGTGTGACACCGGCGTCTAATGCAAAGGGCAAGCTGGCCAAAGCGTTAGGTCATGGGGGTGGTGCTGTGCGACCTAGGGATGAGAAGCCGGGTGGTCGCTGCCGGCTGTTTGTAGGGCAATCTGCCAGCAAGCACGGGGGAAGAAGAGCTGCGCCGCCTTTTTTCGGAACATGGAGAAGTGCAAGAGACATTCCTTAACTCTGAAAAGGGCTTTGGTTTTGTCAAAATGGCTTCCTACGAAGCAGCCGAAGCCGCTAAAGCAGCCCTCGACGATGCTCTTGTTGACGGACGACGCATTCAGGTGCGATTTGCCACCCAAGGCACATGTCTTAGTGTGCGCAATCTTGGACCATGGGTCTCAAATGAACTGCTGGAAAGTGCTTTTTCTCTTTTTGGTGAAGTTGAGAGGGCTGTGGTTATCGTAGATGACAGGGGGCGCTCGGTGGGTGAGGGCATTGTGGAGTTTGCACGCAAGCCTGCAGCCCAAGCTGCTTTGAAGCGATGTCTCGAGGGCTGCTTCCTACTGACCAGTGAGCCAAGACCTGTTTATGCTGAGCCCCTGGAGTACAGAGACTGGGTTTTGGGCCTCCCTGAACGGACAGTGTCGAGGAGAGGGCGGGGTTATGCTCGGGAGCGAGAATTGGGACCACGTTTTGCACGACCTGGTACACAGGAGCATAGGGTGGCAGAGCGCTGGAAACGTTTTCTTGACTTTGAGAAGGACAAGCGGGAAGAATTGGAAAAGGTTCTGAATGAGGAGCGCCGGAAATTGGAAGAGGAGGTGGAACGCTTCCGCAGGGAACAGGTGCTGGAACGTCCCTTTCCTCCTTGGCAGGATGGACCCCACGATCAGTATGCCAGTTATTTGGGTTATGACACAGGCTACCTTGGTTACCCACCCCAGTATGGTGCAGGCTGGAACCATCGCAGTCCTTACTGAGTAGCCTTCCTGGACAATGGCCAAGGGCCCCCCCCCGAATCAACGTTGCTGCTTCCACTTTTTTTTTCTTTTTTGTAAATGAAGTGGAAGTCATTACACACAGTTCAACATGGCACTGTGTTGCTTTGTTCTTTTCTGGTGTCAGTCATTTGGGAAGTGGCCAAGTATTGCCGCCACAGCACATTAACAGTCGGTTCTTTTTCTCAGGCAGGATCTAAGTGTCTGCAGTGCCCAACCTGCTGCTGCTCTTCACTGCAAATTTGATCTTCTTGGCGCCGCACACAAGCTGCACTTAGCCTCGAGCATTGCATTAGGAATCTGTGCGACTGTACATCAACCTTGGCGCGTGTGAAGAAATAGATTTTTTCGGTAAGATATGCTACCTTGTTTGCTGCCACTCGTTGCACTCCCATTGCTTACTGAACTTGGAATCTTGGTGATCTTGAGCTTAATATCGTCCAATTTTTTAAGGACGTTGGCTACATACTCAAATTTCATCACAAAAGTATGCTATAAGGCATATACATCTGTTTTGCTGAACCTCTGAACATTCATTTTCGGTGAAGCTATCAGCCATAAGCCGTGGATCCCTGCCTCAAGAAACATTGAACTTTTATTTTTCTACAGTACACTCAAGCTGCTTATTCGACCTGTGCACATCTGTGTGCGTAAAACAGTTCGTACTCTGTGGGTTTAAATATAGCAATTAAAACCGACCTCATCCCTAAGTAAACTGTGCTACCAGTTTACCAGCCTCACATGCTAATGATGCTGAATATTTCCTTGGGTCCCAAATGTATGTAATGGATTTTAAAGGGTTTACACTTGCACTTCTTAGGGGTCAGTGGTAGAACTATGAGGTTAAATGATCTGTAACTAGATTTGACAGAGATTTCTTAGGCTCGACACGTTAAGCATTTTTTTCTATGCAGAAAAGTGGAAATATTGCTATCCCTCATGTCTGACAGGGAAGGGGAGAGGCAAGTTGCGGCCTAGATTTATCAATAAAGCTCAGGTAGAAAAGTTTGAAAAAAGGGCCTTTGTGAGCTATATAAGCATTTTGAAAAAACTGGGCAAAAAAATAATTTAAGGTTATGTGCTTGGCCTCACAATTGTTAGTTCTGCTGTTGCTTTCTAATCGGCACTGCTCATACTAAGCAGCGATTTAACTGTACTTTTCCGGGATGTATAAAACAATCACTAGTGCTGTACTTCAGTTCCATACTCAGAACTACACAGGAATTCTCATCAAGTTGTCAAATGGTTGTATTATTCAATTCCATAATCCCCCCTTCCCCCCTCTTTCTTTTTTGGCTTAATAAATGTGAGATTGTGACAGTTTTCATTAACCTGCCATCAATGTTAAATTTGCAAAATTAAACTCGTCAATATTAGACACCTTTTGTTCGAAAACTTCTGGCAGGGCAAAAACACCAAGAGTGCTTACTTTAAATGTTGTGCACATGACGAAGCAGGAGATATTAGCAGCAGTGAACTAAAAAAAATGTCATAAAAAATGGCAAGTCGCGTTTCACCCTTCTCTCTCTAGTGCTCGTAAAGCTGTTCCCTTGAGAAGCTTACATTTTGGGCAAGCTTTAAAAAAAATTCAACCCCCACCCCTCTGTTCTTGCTCTATCATCTGTAGAGCTTGACAAGTATTAAAACAGCATAATTCCATTCCGTATGAGAAGTATGCTACCTCAAAAGAGTTGGTTCCGCCACTGAATTCAGCATGTAGGAATATGCTATGTCACAGCTATTGGTTCTTTGTTCTTCTGAAAATTCTAGGCCGAAAACGACAGCCTAACTCTGTCTGGTATAAATATCCTGAAACTGGCTACCAGCTTCTTACGAACAGGTCGGTGAGGAGAAAAGACATGTTTACCCTCGCAGTAAACAGACGCCCCTTCATTTTGGAGGCTTTCGCTCTGGCAGTATCGCTTCTCCTGGAGTCTGTGGCTCCACAAAACATCAGGGTACAGCACAGAAAAATGATTATATGGACTGGGTGCTGAAACTGCATCACCGGAAGGCAAAGGTGCCATTTCGCAGTGCAAAGAAACAATCAATGAGCTCAGGGGAGCTTGACGTTCCCCATGGACAAGCTTTCGTTGGACTGTGTGAACAAGGGGGTTGGTCAAGCAAGGGAGGGAAACAGGCGCGGTATTGTTCTTCGAAATTGAGGGTCTGCGCGGTGCTGTAATGATTGGCAAATGTGATTGCCACAGTCTACTGTCCGAATTGGCGAGCTTGTCTGAGGAGCGGGGGGGGGGGGGGGGTGAAAAGTTGTAAGGACAAAAAAAAAACGAAGCTTGTTTACTGGCCCCATCAGAAAAATTAATAAATAAAAACTCAAAGAATAGAAAGATCATTGGCACTCTACTGCTCAAATTGTTCGATTGAATAATGGTTATGCTAGTCTCACTTGTGGCATAGAGCATGACATCCAAGGCTATCAGTTTTTAATTGTTCTTTACGTCCACCTATGAACATGTAGATAAAAGTGAATTGCCCTAGGCATAGGACACCACATATCGAGCAAGTAATTGTATATACAGTAACTAAAGTAGTTTCATCATCATCAGCCTGACTATGTCCACTGCAGGACAAAGGCCTCTCCCATGTTCCGCCAGTCAACCCAGTCCTGTGCTTGCTGCTGCCAATTTATACCCGCAAACTTCTTAATCTCATCCGCCCACCTAACCTTTTGTCTCCCCCTAACCTGCTTCCCTTCTCTGGGAATCCAGGTAGTTACCCTTTATGACCAGCAGTTATCCTGTCTACGCCCTACATGCCCAGCCCATGTCCATTTTCTCTTCTGGATTTCAACTATGATATCCTTAACCCCCGTTTGTCCCCTAATCCACTCTGCTCTCTTCTTGTCTCTGAAGGTTACACCTACCATTTTTCTTTCCATTGCTCGCTGCGTCGTCCTCAATTTAAGCTGAACCCTATTTGTAAGTCTCCAGGTTTCTGCTCCGTAGCTAAGTAACGGCAATACAGCTGTTATATGCCTTCCTCTTGAGGGATAGTGGCAATCTACCTGTCATAATTTGAGAGTGCTTGCCGTATGTGCTCCACCCCATTTTTATTCTTCTAGATACTTCAATCTCGTGGTTAGGCTCTGCTGTTATTACCTGCCCTAAGTAGACATAGTCTTTTACAACTTCAAGTGCACTATTACCTATCTCGAAGCGCCACTCCTTTCCGAGGTTGTTGTACATTACTTTCGTTTTCTGCAGATTAATTTTAAGACCCACCTTTCTGCTCTCTAAACTAAAGTAGTTTACATGTTACTAAAGCATGACTATGCATCCGTACACAGTTTCCCGTCTCTACATGCTAATGCTTCTTGAATGATTTTAGCGGAGTTTCAACCTGCTTCTGCTGTTTCTTTGGTGAATCCTGTCTGCTGTTTTTCGTTGTGCCACTGCCTTCAACCTTATTTTCTGCGTTGCATTGTGCCCTTCTCAATCACCTAGAAGCAGATTGTACTGTTGGCAGCCTTTAGTTTGCTGGCTCTTGGCCATAACAAAATTGCATCAGACAGCTGTGACCAAGTTCATAATTTCTGCCGTAGTGGGAAATAGTTATTCTCTTTGAAGTAATTTATTGGGAATAGTTATTTCTATGATGTATTTGCTCACATGTTCAGGAAAAAGGGCTGCTGTTTAGAGAAACTGAGTGCTGCTAATCAGGATACTGCTTTGTGTGTACAGATAAAGTTGAGGTTACCTTAATGTCCTTATTTGAAAGCTAATATGCTATGGTTCAAAAGATTGCACAAAGAACTAAAAAGGTACTTTCCCAAGAAAATTGCAGGCACACTGGTGACATGTGGGTCACACGTTGCCACGAAAACTGCAGAAATGTAGTTACAAAAGCTAGCATTGGCTTTTTAATCTGAAAGGTATGCTTTGAGCCAGGGGTGGTATTTTCTGCCTATTTATGGTTCCATCAAGAAAGCACTGGGAAGGAAGAGAAATGTGCAGAGCTTATGGCGTAGACTTCGAATGGTTATTCAACTTATGATAGAATCTGCCAAGAAATGTTCTTGGCGGGCACTAGATAGGGTATAAGAATGCATGCAATAGACATAAAGCTCACTCTTGGCAATTCAGCATTCAAATTCCTCCATTACTTGCAACAAAGAACCAATGAGGAAATAATTGCACTAAAATGCTCCAGAATGCCTCACAGCTTTTTGTTGCAATTGCACTTTCCCTTGATAGCTTAATAAGGGACAATAGCAGTAATTGGCCAGATATTTAGGATATCAGCTGTTTTAGTTTGGCTTATACTTTATAGTGATCTCATTGTATAGAGCAGAAGTAACTTGGTGCTTTGTGCAATAGGATAGAAATTTTAAGGCAATACGAAATGGTCAAGCGAAAACGTTGCTTGAATCAGCTTTTCAATAAGGGGACTTGTTGAAATTCACCTTTAACCACTTCGTTACAAAGGAATTTTGTTATATTGAGCAGTACACAGAATGGGACAAATATTTGTGTACATATGGTATAGGTGCTCTGCTCTTCAGTATTGATTGGTTTTTTGTTGAGTTCCACATTTTTCTGCTTGTGAAATGATCGTGAGATAGCTCGTCTGTCCATCAATGATAGCGACTTTCTTTTTGTGTGCATGTTAAAGCTGGTGTAATCTTCAACCTTGCAATGAGGAGGGGCATTCTGTGGTGACTGTATTATTGGCCTTTTGTTTCTTGCTGCTCATGGCTGATAGAAATCAGAAAATTTGGGATTTGTTTGTTATTCACTTGCGGAGACATCTGTCTTTACGAACTTCACATCCAGCCTGCATGATAAGGTTGAAATGTGTGGCTTTGTACATCTTTTTGTGCTGGACAGGCAGAGTTAGCCTTGTCCTTTCTTGCATTTTCTTCAGCTTGAAATATCAACCCTTTATCTTCCGAGTATCATACCAGGCTATCACACTTACAATCAGTATCTAGATTGCATTTACACCATCTGCAACATTGATCGCGTGATTACGAAGAAAATGTTTTGAAGCAATTTTTCAGAAAATTCTGCATGCAATTGTTATATGGTAATTTCTCTTTACTCTTATCACGTCATGGTGTTGGCTTCATTCATTAATACAAAACATTGGAAGGGGCCCTACGGCACTTTTGGAACATGGTCAGAAAACGCTGCCGATCGGTAGTCAAGGCTTTGGAGAACAGTTAAGTCAAACATTGTACCTCGGCTCATGCACTGGAATTTGATTCTCGGTCAGTCTACAAATGAGGTTATACACTCAGGTCCAAGGTGCTTGGCTGATTTAAGCATTGTGAGCTATGTAGCTTGCACAAGTATTTCTGTGTGGATGATAAAACGATCACTGTCCTTGTG